GTCCAGTTTTGGAACAACTATGACCTGGATGACTGAGAATGTCTAGGCATTTGGTAATAATTCTGCTGACCTTCATTCAGAGCAACATTTACCTTCCCAGCATATGCTGATTTATAGCAGACTGGGCATAACATCGCTCAACCTCCTCAAATGTTTTTCCCTGTACAGCTATTGCCAGTCGTCCCAGGTAATCAAGCAAGGAACCATGAACATATGAGCTAAATCTATTTTATTATAAGGGTCCATTAACAGATTCGATCTGAAAGTGCAAACTTTCTGCTGCCACTTTTCACCATCTGATTAATTAGGAGAGGGGTCCATCCCACAATTCTTTCTCTGTTCATCTCTTGGGGGTCTGTACCCTCTCTTCGATTGTTTCCTAGGCAACCTCTCTTTTCCTCATTCCCCCAAGGTCATTCACACATTCCATTACAGGTCATAAGTCGAAAGAATCCTGTGACTGGTTGCAACCCTTAGCAACCAGTTGCGCAGTTCCAATTGTGATAATTAATCGACAACTATGAGGGCCATTAAACGAGAACTTCATGTGACTGCAACTTCCTGCGAGCTTCTTCACCTGTGTTGGCTCATCCTAATCTGGCAGGGAAGGCCATAAATAGCAATAAATAGCAATCCCATGACCTTTTTAAATAGAGAAGTGAATCTTTAGTATGATTTGGATGGGAGTTAAGCTATGCTGTTTTAATGCATTTTTATTTTATGGCAAAGTTAGTGATAACTGGGTTTCATAATGTAACTACAGATTTCTTTTACAATTAAAACTTTATTTAGCAATAACACAATACATATAGATACACATAGAAATATGTATTCAGTTCCCTCTTTCAAAAGGTGCACTAGCAGCGCTTGTGCTAATTTTTTTATTATAAACCTTTTTATTGTACTTTAAAAGATGTATTTTCAAAAAAAACATTGTCTATGAATAACAGATAATTACTGTTCAATGTAGCATTAGTAAAAGTGCTGTTCTTGAAATAGTTTTGCATTTTTAATACCCAACTTGTCAATTTTTAAAGAACAATTTCCTTTTGTTTAGCCTCTGGAGAGCGAGATATGATAGTTATGAGGAATGAAATAGGAATTAGGCATCCCTCTGGTCATTTGGAAGACAAATATATCAATCTTGTAGTGTATGGAGATGATAAAGGGTATTCTGCGATGGCCAAGACAGTGGGATATCCTACTGCTATTGCAGCAAAGATGATTCTTGAAGGTATGTATCTTTCTTCCCAACTTTTAACTAAGGAGTTCTTGAAAGTAATGGGATTGCTATAAAATGCCTCCTGAAAAGGCATAACTTACTTATTATACCTATTATACCTTTCTATTTATATAGTAAGTTAAGCCTCAGTGCCCAACCATTTATTTTAAAGAGCTTCGGTTACATTCAGTGAGATTTTGTTAAGATACATTTGTGTTGTTCTAACCTAGAAATATGTGTGCAGTAATTCCCCAGAACAATCCTATCCTCATATTTCTAGTATGTTCCCAATTTTTTATTTTTCTTTCTTTCTCTTTCTCTGAATGAAAGGAAATGAACTGTTCATTTGAAATTAATACAATTCAAGAATAAGTAAAGACGCAAACCTTAACTGCAAGTAGAATTCCATTGTATCTTTTTATTAAATGAGTACCCACTCTTCCTTAAATGAAATGTTGTAGAACCATTATGCTGTTTTGCCCCTCTAAAATTTCTTCAAAGAGAAAATTATATTTCTTATTTTGTATTTCAGGTGAAATTAACAGCAAAGGTATGATTGTCCCATTGACAAAGGATATATATGGACCAATGCTGAAGCATATTCAAGAGGAAGGCATTGCATACACAACCCAGAGTGTTATCAGGCAATAAAGCAGCAATTCATGTTCCTCTCAGCCGTCCGTCCAATGAGTTTCTAGTATGCACAAATTAAAGCTTGAAAAACTGCCATGGATACCTTCAATTGAGAAGTCTTCTGTGTTGAATCCATTGAAATGAACAGAACAGCAAAAAAGGATTTCTATTACCTTGAAAACCTCCAGCCTTTGGTACAGGCTTTCAATGAGATTATCCTATTGAATTGGGTTTATTAAAGGCTACAATTCCAACGAACTTATTTGGAAGCAAATCTCAATGGCTTCTGTTCCATTCGTGTACCACAATATTATCACAATATTTATCATAGCATGATATTTTTTTTTCTTCAGAAATGTAGGATTTTTATACACGACGCAAGGATCTTAAGGTTGTGCGAAACTATTTTTCATTGTTTCATAAATGCTGCAAAATTGCTGCGTATGGTGAATATTAAGACTATTTTCTATTACAGTATTTAAAATGGATTTCTAAACAATGTGTTTCTAAATTTAGAAAGATTTGCTGTTTATTAGGAATGAAGAGGTTTATGACCTAAGTGCCCATACTGTTGATTTTGAAAAGCTCTCAACTCCACCCAGATATGCTTAAGTTTTGTTATTCATTGGTCTTCTAAGAATGTGTAAGGGATCATTCGTTTTTTCCATGAGCCGTTTTTGTTGTCACTTTGTCATTTGACCCATATGCTTGATGAACATCTACACTGATTCCTTGAATGATAACTATAGAATCAAAAGTAGTTTGGCTTTTCTAAAAAAAACTTAAATCATATTGTTCAGCTAGCTCAGTCTTAAGCACTTCCAGTTAAAGGCTACAGTTAACAGAATTGGAAAATATCTGTCTCTGGAACTCTGAAGACCTTTTCCTAAAACGGAGATGTTAATGTGCAATAGACCAGCCTTTCCTATCTTGGTTATCCTCCAACGGTATTGGGACTTGCAGATTCCCATATTATTAGAATGTATGCACAGTTCGTTGAATGTCATAAAAACTGATCCAGCTTTGCAAAGGAGATATGATTTTATAACCAAAGGGAAACGTGTATTTTTAATTTAGCATTTTTATTGAGAATATGATTGTTCTAGACACTTCTATAATATATGTTTAAAATATTATTGTGGAGGAAAAATGATCTACTTTGCTTTACATTTGCAAACTGTTATATTCCTTGAAATTATGTTTTATATATCGGAGAACTTCTAAATTCTGAATTGATATGTAAAGTTGCCAACTAGTTTATTTATTTACATTATCTTGAAGACAGAATATTCTTTGGTGCCTTTAAGATTCTTACATGTTTCAATATTAGAGAGAAACAATATATTAGAGAAATATCTGGTATATTAAAAAAATCTGTTCTTGTTCTGTAATGGACTTTCAGATCAGTGAATAATATGAATTATCTGTTTTAAATGGAAACATGGTGCATAGAAAGGAAACCAGGATGTTTTCTTCCATTCTGGAATGGAAAAAGGTATTTTTTTTTTATCCCAGGGTGGGAAAAATGTGGGCAGAATTCATTTGAAAGTATGGATAAAAACTGAGTGTGATGGGGAAAATGTGGAGTCTCCACTGACACCTGCAGCCAAACACTGTTCCAAGATACAATGTGTGGTAGCTCCAACTCTTTTTTTTTTTTTTTTTAGTATTTTTGGATATACAAATACTGAATTTACACAGAGGCCCCTGATATTTGATGTATTAGTTCAGAGCAATTTTTAATATTGTATAATTCTGTGCACATTTACTGAAAAGTAAATTCTACAGTAGCCAGGAAATGTAATCTGTTTATCAATAGAGGCTTTAGTATCATTAATATCCCTAATTTTATTTTTTTGATGCTCACTTATGTTAACAGAAGATAATTGCTATCTGAAATCATTTAGGTTTTTTTAATACAATGTCCAATGTTTTTTCTCTGCCTGTTGCAGTCACTGAGAAGTAGGAAAATTGAGTTCAAGATATTTACTGGAATGTAACGGAACTGCTTCATTTATACTTAGCAAATTTTGTAGAAAAAAATTTGTGGGCTGTTGGTTTGCAAACATTTTGCTGCCCAAATTCACAACAAAGTGTCTCACTTTGTACAATCCCAATAACATAACAAAACATCCTGTTCTAAAATAAATCTGAAAAGGTTAAATCATAAAGCTGTGTTACTGTGCATTTCTGTGGTTCCTGCATAGAAGAATGTATGCAGGGAGAAGTGGGAGAATAAAGAAATAAGGAATAAATGTATCCGTAGAGTTTCGGGAGGGATGATACACAAGCTTAGACTTCACTCAGGGAAAAAGGCACAACCTGTTTAAGAGAAATTTTTCAGGTAATCCAGAGTTGATTCAGATCTTTACTCTTCACCTCCCCAAATAAAAGGATTATCACGGAAGCCTTAGTTTTATATGGTTTTCAGTTTACAGTATCGGAAAGGGACAAGAAAATGCCTGAATAAATCCAGAGTCACTGACATAAAAAGTATGCTTGTGAAAGGCTATTTTGTAATTTGTATTGTTTTTGAAAATTAATTACTTGCAGAGAGGTAAAGTGAAGGGTAATGTGTTACATTGGGTTTAAAAAAAAATCTGGTGCTTTTGCTATCCTGCCACACAAAATAAAAATGTTTGACTTTCATGTGTGAGCATCTTTTTAAGAGTAATGCTCTGGGAGCAATTCATATATGCAAGAAGAGTGTTCATGCTGCATTATTATAATATTAAAAAGTTTACGTACAGTGAAGTGCAAAGAAGCATTAGATCTACATGCAGAAATGTTTTCAATTCTTTTAAGTATAAGGCATCTGTTAGAGATTCCATAAGGTCTGTTGGAAGATCTCTATTTCTCATAACTGCATTAATGTAGTAAAGTATTAACTGCAACTAAATCTCCTTAGCTTTTGAGATCACTCAAGTTAGGTTAAAAAGAAAAGTACAGTTAGCCACAGAAGACCTTCAATGGCTCATGATTTTTTTTTTCCAGAATTAATGAGGATTGATAAAGTTGCTGCAATATTACCAAATGTCAAAATGAATATTAATGGATAAACTTATATATCCGTAGCATTGGCCTCTTTTAAAGCTAAGGTTGCACTTCAGAATGTTGCCTGATTTTGTAATGAAAGATTTGGTTCTAACAATGAGAAATGAAGCACCAAGTTAAAATCAAAACATTTGGTTAACAATGAGCCAGAAAGGCATGTATTAGAACCATGAATCACTATGATCAGCGAAATCCTGGAAAACTTCATAGTGGTTGGACTGACTTTTAGGAAAGGGACTATGTACAAGAATGATCTGAAGGTTTGCCTTTATTAGGATCATTTGTATTTCTGAATACTTATTTCTAAAATATATGTGCCTTTCTGTTCCCAAAAAGATTCTAAGCACCTTACAAATACAGATGGTTCTTCACATATAAGTGTTCAACAATCATTAAAATCACAATAGCCTTGGGAAAAAAATGTAATTTACAACCTGTCCTCAAAGTTACAGCACTGCCCCTTTGATCATGTGATCACAATTCGGCTGCTTAACAACTGGCTTGATTTTACAACTGGTTGCAGTCAAGTAATCATGATTTGCAACCTTTCCAGCTGGTTTCTGACAAGCAACATCAACTGGGGAAACTGGATTTGATTAACAACCATGTGATTTGTTTAACAACAAACAGTGATTTGTTTGATAGTTGTAAAGGCGATTATAAAATCAGATCCAGTATGTGATGACCACATTGTTTAGCAACTGGAATTCCAGTTCCAATCATAAAATAAAAATTACCTGTAACAATAAAAAAATGAAAGCAAGAAAGAAACCACCATCCAAAAAGCCCCTAGCAACAGTAAGGTTTCTTGTTGAATAACACAGAGAGGGCAAACGATCATCTTACTTGCCTCCTATAGGAAAAGGCCTTCCACAGATGGAACACAGACATAAAAACTGTTTGGAGGATCTGGGTGTCAAACTTAATCCTTAGTATCAAGGCCTGTGAACATTTTCCTGCCTTGCCAATATTTTGCTGCTAAAAAATGAAAAGGCATCTCTGAAGGTACAACGAAGGTCTTTTAAGAGTGATGAGGCAGATTTTATTTTTGCCAAGTGTTCAATACAAGTTGAAATATTGATAAACTCATTTTTGTAATGCCGTGGATAAAAACTATTGAAACAATGCTTAGTACAGACGTTATTTTCATAGAAACTTCGTATTTCAAAACAAGTATATCTTGATTTCCCACAAAAGTTAAAATTACATGCAGAGATAGTTACCATTTAGGATGCATGACAATATATCAGAAGCTACTAAAACTAAGAACAGGTAATTAACTACATCATTTTAAGAATGCAATTACACAGAACTAGAAAACTGACTTTGTAGTAAAATATAAAAATCTACAATTATAAATATAAATTTGGTCCATGGAATCCACTCTAGAAATATTTACAATAAGTATCAGTCCTACTAAATGCCTACTAAAATCTTAAAATGTTGAATATTACAGAGAATATATTTACATTCTACCATATTAAAAGTTAAATTTCTAACAAAGGTATTAAGAGTGCTATAAATAACAGGAAATTGGATACTAAAATGTGTGTTGCTGAAAACTCCAGCATCCATAGTTATGATAAAATTTAAGTGAAAATGTAATCACAAAAATTAAAAACTAATACTGTAAAAGACTACATACCATTCTTAGAAACTACAGAGTTCAGTAAAATTAGTTCAAACATAACAAAATGCATTACGAGATTTTTTTTTCTCAAAAAGGCACACATTGTTAATGTATTTGCGAGAAATGTTTATTCAAATCAAATGAGATAAAAAAAAGATTATCTAATAGCTGGACATCACCCTGCCCCATGTAAAAAAAAAAAGGAAATATTTCCAGCTCTGTCATATTTTGATTGAAGTCAAACTAATGATTCCAAACTCTCTGCTGCACTGCCATCTGGTAAAGCTGAGCCATTACTGTCGATGGATATCGAGGGATTTTCTTCTTGTCTTGAACTAACAAGACTGAGGACAGTTTTGTACAAAAACTGGTAATGGTCCTAAAAGATTGTGGGTGGGTAGAAAATGATGGGACATTAGCGTAGCTTGTATGGATTACAAGAATCACTAACAGCACATTCAGTCAGCAGGTAGTAAGAAACAAGCAACCGCATGCTCAGGAGATGGTTGAGAGAGACACATCAATTTGTCAACCCCCAAAGAAAGGAGAGCATTTTCTTGGCCAAGAATAGTGCCTAGGTGATGGTAGGGAGAAAATATCAAGTGACATATTCAAAATGGTAAAAGCTGTTTCTGAGTTATAGATTAATTATATCCATGTTCAGCAAATTGGCAAATTAATTGTGGCTAATATGAAGCAATTCCAGGCCTGCTATTTTAAACATTTAAGATGAGATTTTATCTCTTTGGGAATGGAATTTCAGCCCACAAAGAATGCAGTTTCATCATGCAGAGTAATTCTTGCCTACTTACAAGATCTGTGAAGACTCCAGGTCTCATCAAATTGATCATCTTAGCTACATGATAAACATCCACACAACTTTCATTTTCTAGCTGATGCATAAGTGTTGTTAAAGCACAGAAGGTACCTGCTGTCACTCCACCATGCCTTATGAAAAAAAAAATACACAAATGTATATTTAGAAAATGAACAAGCTCTACATTTTGGGAAAATACACAACTGCTTAATAATAATGCTATTTAGGACTTCCTAGAAGGTTAGAGAATTAATAAAATGTGATTTATTTATGATCAACTGCTGGTTCTAATCACCATTAGATGGGCATATCTACTAAAAACATATTAAAGGGTTCACATTCTCCTATTTAAGAGCATCTTCATTACCACTTGATCTGCTTGATTGTTGCAGTTCTTATAAAACTTAAAATATAAAAAAATGATGTATGCACACTACTTTTGGACCTTTTACTGGTCATTATAAACCAGTAAATCTCTTGCCTTCCACTTCAAAACTTTGCTTACCATCTTTCTTTTTTTCCTTTTTTCTATTTCTCAAAATCATTTCTTCTATGAATTTCTTGGGTCTATTTTGAAGCAGAATTAATGTCTTTGAGTTGGCATGACAGTTAACTTTTCTGTGCCACTACATATATTATTATCCTTTTAAGTAGTTTTATATGCATGCTGTTTTAAATGAGTAAATATAGCAATAGAACATGTAAATACATTTCATTGCTTTAAATTACAGAGGATAGTGCTAGGACACCTGACTAGAAAGTGGGACGCCCTGAGTTCTAGTCCAGCCTTAGCCAGGAATTACTATGGGCCAGTCACACTCTCTCAGCCCAAATCTCTTCACAGGGTTGTTGTTATTTTGGAGGAGGAAGGAGGAACTCAAGGTATGCTGGCCACCTTTAGTTATTTGTAAAAATAATAAAGGCAGGATGCAAATAAATAAGTAAATATTTTTTTAAAAAAACAGTTTATTTTTTTTCCTGACACAACAATGACTAAATAGTAAGAAATTATTAGTCATTGCTTTTGCATGATCCTTTACTTATAATGCTTTTCTTATTCTATTAAAGTGTCGCTAATTCTTTCCTACGTACTCTTAGACCGTTTTACTCCACAGACAATTCCCACAGATGCAATATACTGAAGTAGTAGCAGAGTCAAGATATGAGTCAAGAAGTCATTGTTACAAGATGTTGAATGCTGGCAATTTTTAAGTGGAAGAGAAATTTGGTTCCAATTTCTTTCTATAAATATGACTTTTATAAATCACAGATGCTGTATAAAACATATATAGAGATGCCAACAACTATTGAAATTGAATTAATACTTACTCATCATGCACAATCATAGGGCCATCTCTGTTGGAAGTTTCTTCTTTTATGATGCTTATAAGTTCAAATGTTTTACTAATAGGGCTATCTGGATTTGGCCATTTTGGACACTGAAAGTGCCTCACTTCAAGAACGTAATCATCCTCAAAGATTAAAAAAAAACAGTGCATTTAATTTATTCATATTTATGAAACAGGTGAATTGATACAACTGAGAAACATGTTTGGCTTGTAAATTTCCCACAGTTCTGTGAAAAGGTACTTGCCCCCTTTAGGGTTTTCTGAATGATGACAGCTCTTTGCCACTAAACACATTAGAATTACAGATATATAAAAGATTGAGTGAAAAGAACCTCAACCTCCTCCTCAAATGCTTGGGACATGTTTCATTTAGTTCATGAACAAATAATCCTACACACAATGTCCCAGTTAATCTACATTCCTTTAAGAAAACAGGAGTGACTTTGGTCAACTCTGTTTTATACAATTTTTAGGTCATTCAAGGGAAATTCTCATCATGCAAATTCTAGACGCAAGTCATAATACCCCTGAAATCAACATTTTGAAAATCTGGGTAAAAAGTCACTGATGCCTTTCAATCTGTAAAATATTACAAAACTATTTCTAAAATTCTGGAGCTCTACTGATCTCTGGTCAGGGACATAATCTTAAAATGGAGAATGTTTGGAAAAACAGCTAATTTCCCCAAAGGTGGCCATCCTGTTAAAATGAATTAAAAAATGCAACATAAAAACTGAGAACATCATCAAGAGAACTGTGATGATTTTTTTTTTCCATTTTGCAAAGCACCATTGATTGC